CGCCAAAATAATTTTTCCGGAAAAATTTTTTTGGTCCTAGTCGGGCAGAATCCCGAAAAGTCGGGCAGAATCTCGAAAAGTCGGGCAATTTTCTTGCCGCCCCCCTAATTTTTTCCTTCCGGTACGCCCATGGCTCTTAGACCCATTAAAAGTGAGAGATTTATTAGCCGTATACCATCGAATTACGAGGGAAGGACTTTCATATTGTTTATATCCGCCCCGAGATTGCCATTTCGATTCTGTGCTGAGAAGGTCGTCCACGAATTCTTTTAGCGAAGCTAAATTGCCAACCCATTTAATCGAGCCTCTTGTTGTCACGAATAAGGACTTTTTGAAGTTCAAGAACGTCTGGCTTTCTGCATTTAGGTCGTTTTTATCAGAGCGATTTTCAGCATGTCCTTCCATGTCGACGCAATGGTGATATTGTATCTGTATGGTGCAACCTTCACTCGGTATACCGACCACAAAGCCCTAGAAGTCATCTTTGGAAACCCAATTTCAAAACCACCAGCCCGAATAGAGCATTGGTTCCTACGCCTCCAGCAATATAAATTTCGGGTTGTTTATAAACCAGGCAGTAGAAATCCGGCAGACTACCTGTCTCGCCATCCCCCTGATAGTAAACAAAAACAAACGAACATTGCAGACAAATACGTGCATTTCGTAACACACACAGCAGTCCTCCCCGCACTTACAGTGGACGATGTTCGCAAAGCAACCAGCAAAGATACATTACTTGGTTTGGTACGTACGGCAATCCAGACGGGACAGTGGTCCAGTAGTGAACTGAAACAGTTCAAGCCCATCAAAGATGAACTGTCTATTGACTACACCAACAATGTGGTGCTTCGGGGCACCAGACTTGTAATCCCTTCATCATTGGTCCAACGTGTCATACAGCTGGCCCATGAAGGGCACCAAGGGCAGGCCAGAACAAAGGCGTTGATACGGGAACACGTTTGGTTCCCAGAAATGGACAAAAAAGTTCGTGCAGAACTTGAAAAGTGCCTCGCTTGTCAAGCCACTGGGCAACCAAGTCAACCAGAACCCCTTCGGTCCACCCCGCTACCTAACAAAGCATGGGACAAACTCAAGATTGACTTCTATGGCCCATTACCGACTGGACAGTATATTTTGGTGATCCTGGATTGCTATTCTCGATTTCCGGAAGTAGAAGTGTTGTCTTCGATCTCTGCCAAGACTGTAATCCCGAAACTCGATGCAGTTTTTGCCCGGCATGGTGTCCCTTCGCAGGTTGTTTCAGACAATAGGCCACCTTTCCAAGGACATGAATTCAACAGATACATGACCAAAATGGGAATCCAGCATAATACCTCCACACCTCTGTGGCCTCAGGGGAATGCGGAAGTCGAAGCGTTCATGAAGCCGCTCGGCAAGGCTATTCGAACGGCGAACCTCGAAGGACGGCCTTGGAAACAAGTGCTCTCCAAGTTCTTGTTGGCGTATCGGTCTACCCCCCATTCGACCACAAAGGTACCACCTGCTCAGTTGCTATATAACCGAGAAATTCGCGGAAAATTGCCCACACTTCCCCACAACAGCAAAGTTATTAACCGACATAGAGAAGCCAAGCAAAATGACAAAGAACAAAAGCAAAGGGGAAAACAATATGCAGACTCTCGACGACATACACGAACAAGTAAACTACGAGTTGGAGATCGTGTTCTGGTCAGGCAAAAGAAAACGAATAAATTTTCAACCAATTTCAGTCCTACGCCATATACTATCGTTGCCATAAAAAGGTCAAAAGTAGTCGCGAAAAACCAACAACATTCCATCACGCGAAATGTATCGTTGTTCAAGAAGATAGCGGAACAAGCAGTTAGTCGAGAAGAGGATGATGAGGATGTTGTTAGCAGAAGAGAAGAAGAAGAAGGAGACCAAGTACAGGAACAATACCAACAAGAACAACAAGAGCCTAGAAGATCTACACGAAACACACGGCAGACAAACTTTTATGGACACCCTATAAACTCGGGGTTGAGACTGTAAAAAAAACAAAAAAACACTCAAACAATAACTTCATAGAGAAATTTATTTGGACATTTGCATTGACAGTTTGAAACATTTGACATTCCTTTGTTCTGTTAGAAAAAGGGGGTGATGTAGTGTTACGTCACTTCCGGTAAGCCTCGTGGGAGGCATTAGCTAGGCGAGCGAGAGCGGGAAAGTAAACACATATTTTGCAAGCGAATTTGAGCTATTAAAACTAGTAAAACCTAAGACACAACAGGGACGAGTGTTAAAAAGTGTTCAAATTAAAAAATGAACCAAATCACTAAAAAGACCACCTCAAAATTAGTAAGTATACAAAGTTTGATAACGTTTAATTATGACTTAATTTTGACATTTGAAAACCAATCAGGTTTGAAATTAAAGTGTTGAACTTTAATGGAAAAAAGAATATTGTACTCTATCTACTTTGCTCATGCTCTATTAGCTGTGCCACAAATTGTAGGATTGACCTCAATGAATATGTCAATTCCAAAACACGATGAAAGCTTCAAAGCATCAATAGATTGTGTTATTGAAACACTAGTTCTTCTGTATTAATTCCTGGTATATGAACTGGTGAAACTATGACACAGTTATCACTGTCCTCGAAAGGTGTTGGTCCATCTAGGTCTTCCCCATAAAACCTTGTATCATGAGGGTCATCATCAAGCCCCCCAATAGCTAGTGGATTGTCTTCTCTTAGCATGCCATTAATCCAAAGTTGGTTTGGTGTCCAGTTGTGCTCAGTTGAAAGTGGGTGGTTATTAAAACTGTCCATCCACTCATGCAAAGCATAATTTATTCTTTGTAAAAACACCCAATGTAACACAAACATGTGGATTGGGTTGTCTAAGTCAAGAAGGCCCGTTTGCTCCATCGCATAGAATGTATCAGGGTTCGTACAGGTCTGGAAGAGTTAAATTCAAGGACATTCAAGGCTGTGTATCAGCAAATTCAAGGACTAAATACTGAAGGTGTTAGAAATCAGCAAAATCTGACGTTGAATTGTTCAAAACGTAACTTTATAATGAGGTCAGATATGAACATGCAAAATCAGTTCAACAAAATGTCCGTCTTGAATGTCAAACAATTTCAGAAAATATCCAAAAACTAAAGCAAGAAGAATTCAAGGACATTCAAGTACTTCTTTACAAATTCAAGTACTTCTTTACAAATTCAAGGACATTCAAGGCCTTGAATTTTTGTTTTCAAATTCAAGGACATTCAAGGACTTTCAATATATATACCCTGATGTATAGTAAAAAATGTGGGATACGCATCGGAAAACGTCCCGCCACAACCTTTCAATCCGCTAATTTCTACATGATGAACCTGCAATGAAACTTCCCCTTCCCTCTCCACGCATAGCAACCACTGCATCACACACTGCGATGTTTTCAACTCCATAATCTACTCTTAACCGTGAAAGCCACAAGCCACCATCACGTTGAATTGCATCTTCGAACAAGGACAAAACTGTTGTTGCAAGGTTATTTGTGCTGCAGTGGAGGAAGTTAATTCTCCTTGAATATCCGTCAATACATCCATGGATAACAAATCCCCATCGGATTAGAGAGTGGTGACCGTCCATGTGTCACAACGAGTTTGGCCAGGGTACAAAGTACTTTCGGCGAGACACAAGTGCACCCCACCGTAAAGCTGTATTTCTGGGGTCAACCCTATTCAGACTTTCTCTTATTCGCTTCCATTGAATGTTGTACCCAAGAGCCCGAAAATGACCTCTTAAATAAACTTCACCTGTAGTTAATCCATGTCTTGATATGTAAGCATGAATTATTTCATCAACTTATTGGTCACTAACGTTACTAAACTTTGCTAAGTTTTGTAAGCCGTATTCTCTAACACGACGCATTACTGTCCAACGCGATAGCAGCTCCAAACGTACAGCCTACACCCATGGCGACCCCCATCTTATTCAAGGCCGTTAATGGAAATCCCACTACCCTCGTCCAGTTTTCCCCGATTATCCTCCCAGATCCACCAAAACAGATTTTACTAAATCCTCATAAACAGAGCTCCACTCCATGTATTTCCCTTGAGTCCTCTCTCACATGCATTCCTATGCTTTTCCCGATCAGCGATCTACCAGAATCGACCCCATCACGATACTCCTATTCAATACAAAAAACTAATACACTTGAACGCTTAAAATTTGAGTCTACGTTACCCTCCACTAAAATACCAAACCTTTTAATTTGTAATCTCCGCTCCCTGACGTCCAAGGTCGACGAACTTGACGCTGTGGTGTCTTTTAACCAAACGGACATGGTCTGCATTACAGAGACTTGGTTATCTCCTGCAATTCCTGACAATTTGGTATCTTTGTCCAATTTCAATCTGTTTAGGAACGATAGACTGGTTTCAAACGGCGGAGGTGTTTGTGCCTACATAAATAGCAATATCTATTGTAGACGAATTGAGGAATTTGAAAACTCTTCGATTGAATCACTGTGGTTATCAGTGAGACCAAAGAAGCTACCCCGCTCTGTCTCGGTTATCTTACTGGCTGTTGTTTACCATTTAACAGCATCCCGCCAAACTGAAAATGTAGAATTGTATTCACACATTCAAACCAATGTGGACTCATTTTTATATTCCCACCCTGAAGCTTTGGTCCTAATTACGGGCGACTTCAATTTTAGAAGCACGGGTCTCGATGCAAACCATCTTAAAAGAATTGCTGGTCTGACGCAGATAGTCAAGGTAGCTACCAGATCTGATGTAACTTTAGACTGGTGTTTAACCAACTCAAAGGTGGATAATATTTACGAATCAATCCAACTTCCTCCCATTGGAACCAGTGATCATTATACGATTCTTATGAAAGCCCAACCTTCTCCCTCAAAGCCAGACAATTCACATATATGGGAACGCGAGCTCAGAGATAGCAGGATACGGCCTTTTGGACGATATATCACTACATTTGACTGGTCTCCTATCTTGGACATACATGACTGTGATACAAAATATAAAAAGTTTAACGATACAATGACTGTGATGATTGAAAAATTCTTTCCCTTGGAACGGATTAAAGTACGAAAGTGTGATAAGCCTTGGATGACGTCATCAATAAAGTCTGCTATTGGGAGACGCCAAAAAGCCTTACACGAAAGCGGGGAAAATTCAGATATTTATAAATATTGGCGTAACAGAGTCCAATCATGCATTAAAGTTGCACGAAAGATCTACTATATGAGGTCAGTTGAGAAATTAAAAAATTCTAACCCGGCAAGATGGTGGAAAGAAGTGAAAGCCATTGGTGGTTTCTCGTCAAAAAATTCTTGGTATTCTCAGCTATTTTCTGATGATGTTCGGAATTGCGAAGAACTGGCCGAAAATTTTAATAACTTTCTTACTGCCCTTACATCACATTTTGACCCTCTAACTCTCGACGAAATCCAGGAGGGCCTAGAAGTACCAAACCATTACCGCGTTGACGCCCAACAGATCTATATGAAACTTAGTAAAATTAAAACCACAAAATCACCGGGTCCTGACATGTTTCCAAATAAAATCCTGAAAACATTTGCCTTTGAGCTTGCCCCAGTTATCTCAGACATTTTCAACTCATCCATGACACAAGGCACCTCCCCAAAGGCATTGAAGAGATCTATTGTAGTGCCTGTCCCTAAGGTATCACCCCCAAAGAGTATTGAAGACGACCTACGACCAATATCTTTAACATCTCAGATCGCCAAAGTTATGGAGGATTGTACTTTGGACAATTTTTTTTCCTGAAGTTGTAAATAAACTTGACACCAAACAATTTGCACTCCCAAAGAAATCAACGACCCACGCTTTGGTCTACCTTTTACATTCAATCTTGGTTGCTCTTGAGAGAGGTTCCTGTACTGCCAGATTGTTCTTTGCAGATTTCAAGAAAGGTTTTGACCTAGTAGACCACAATGTTATTATTAAAGAGTTAACCCTGCTTGGTACCCATCCCTCTATAATTCGGTGGATTAAAGCCTTCCTTTGCGATCGCGAACAATGTGTCCGGGTGGGAACTTCTATGTCCTCTTGGAAGAAAACAAATGGTGGCTTGCCACAAGGTACAAAGTTGGGTCCATTATTGTTTGCTGTTCTCATTAATTCCTTACTCAAAAACTGGCCCGGTAGGATCAAGTTTGTGGATGACACCTCAGCCCTAGAGATTATACCACGTTTTTCATCCAGTTTAATGCCATTAGTCGTAAATGAAATCTCGGACTACGCCTTAGAACGTGGAATGGAACTAAATTCTAAGAAATGCAAACAAATGTTGATCAACTT